CAGACTACTTTAGGCCCGGAAGTAGGATTCGTCGCGTCATCACTGAACAACCGGATAGGCTCATGCGATGGGACAATATGTAAGAGGTGTGTTTTTGTTCACCCCTGTATTTAAAGAAACACTTTGTTTTTCATTGTTAGAGACCATTTTGGTGTTTGACAATGTGATTAAACCAGATGCTCATCAGTGTTTGCAGTTTATGTTAAAACTTCCACAGCACTCTCATTACACCCTTAACCATATCCCAGACTGTTGTGGGTTCCACTTCATTATCTTTGTTTAAATTATTACAATCTCGAGTTTCTTTCTTTATTTCCTGCACTATTGTTTTTTTGTTCAAAATTCCAATGTTTAGTCTCTGTTGGGTCCTTCATTTTAAGTCTTCCAGGTTAACTGTCAGGTGAATGGTGTTATGATCTGATGTGTCAGCTGTCCCAATTGTACAATCTGAGACCCTCTGTCTCTCTGTAGTGTTCATCAGGAAATAGTTCTGGAATAGACCTTGTGAGTTGCAGAGTAATGTGTAATGTCTGTTTCTTCTGGATGGAAATCCCTCAGCACCTCAAATAGTTCACTTTCCTTAATTTTTTAAAACATTTCCACATTTTTAGACACAGTATGTTGTGTGAATGCTGTCCAGTGCTCGTTGTAGTTTGATATAATATTCCTTCTTCTTATAAATACCTTCACTCAGGGAGATTACTTGATCAAAAACAAGCCTGAGACATGTCAGGTCACTCTCTGGAGGTGCGTCTATATTGACTAGTGCGTCTATATTGACACAGTGCTGTTGATTCTGCTTTTAACAATGACATCTCTACCATCTTTATTGGCTTCCACTTTCATCACTTCAAAATTGACGCGGTTAGATATTAGTGTAATAACCCCCCTCCTTCTGCTGTTCTTACATGAACTGCAGAAAGAGTTTATATAGCCTAGCTTTTCATCTTCTCATGTTCGTTTTCATGTGTGTTTCTAGGAGAAACTGCTATTGCCTTTTTCATTTTTGCAGTGACTTTACTCCTTTTTACAGGATTGCCAAGACCATTAACATTCCAACAGTCAGCCCTATAAACAAAAATGATACTCTATAAGAGTCCAGAACTGTAATGGAACATCTAACATGGAAGAAGACCAAATAATACTGTGAACTCCAATGGTGGGGCAGGTAACTGTCCTCCTTCATAACCCTGCTGGTGGGTCATGGGAAAGGCCTGTCGTAAAGACAAGGCCCTAAGCTGGGGGCTAGTGATGAAACAAGCACCATCCTATTTGTCCAGCGCTCTTAATTTCGAAAGCTGCTCCCAGCTATAAGCATCTGAAGCAAATTTACATCTGACCCGTTGTTGTTCCCACACCACACCATCGTAGTCATTCCGGGGTGCTCCTTTTGAATATCCAGAGTTTTTCTTTGGCTCTCCCTGCAGCTGTAGATCAGCCTTCCTTCTGGCTCTTTTCCAGGCGTTGCCATTTTAGTTGCTCCTTCCGTCTGGTTGCAGCTGAGGCATCCTCCTCTCTCAGAGCGGATACCACTACGCTGAAGCAGCGTCTCTTTAGTTCCAGCGCTGCTTCGTGTGCGTTGCTGTAGGTTCAGATTCCGTTGTCACAGTCGATTCTCTTATTAGTGTCTGTAAACGAATGCCTTTCTCCTTTAGTGCCTTCTTTATCCCGTTGCAGTCTCTATGTTTTGAATAATCTCTGCTGCATAATCATGGTCGAAGAACAGCGTTTGGTTTCAGGATATTAGCTAAACAGAAAGGCACAACTAGCAATTCAATGAAAATAAAAAGAGAAGAAATTCTGAAAACAGAAAGCTCTTTGGAAGGCAAAGTTTTTCCCATCGGTGCTTGATAGAGGATTTCAGCTGCTCAGTCATCCAGGACTGTTGTTGTGTTACAGTGGTCCCAGTGTTTTCAGTGGGTGACAGGTAAACCAGCAGTCTGTGATATGGAGCCATGCTGCTGTACATCAGGAGTGTGGTCTGATACTGAATTTCTGAAGTAATCAAGACTTTTCCAGAAGAAGACATCTGGATACCAACATGTGTTGCTTTAACACCCCCAAAGATCTTCTAAGCTACTCGTGCTGTGCAAAATGCTAGCTTTGAACTGTGCGTGGACAGTGGGCCCACTGTGGCTCACAGCATGACAAGGTGTCCTTGACCAAGATATTGAATCCTAAACTGTCCCTGGTGCAGCCATCAGTTTGTGTGACTGATGAAATGCCCAAAATAAGCACCTTGTGTTTGAACAAATGTATTTTCCAGGATGAAGGCAACAACGCTTTAAGATGTTTATATAACTGTTGTCACTTTTTAATGTTGTGTAGCTTGTTGTTGGTGTGATGACAAACCATTCATGACACCTTGCAGGGACTTCCTCTGTGGTCCTGGCTATTCCTGCTATTGTTGCTAGGTGCATGTCAGTGTGTTACCCTAATCTGATTGGCTTTTGTCTTTCTTTCTGTTTTTTTAACCTCTTTCAGATCGTGTGGTGAACTGAAAAGAACGCTGAAGCAAAGGTGGAGAGCAGCAGGACTTTGGTCTCCTGCTATCCCGTGATTTTGCTAGAAACTCCACTTCTCTCACTGCCCAGTACACTCCTACTGTTTTTCCTGTTCGTTCACTCTCCTTCTATCATCTATCTGCCCATCTTGCTCGACAAATAGGTCAACAGAATCCAAGCGCCAAAGACTAGGAGACCATCTCAGCTGTTTCTGTAGAAGCACTGCTAATAGAAAGAACACAAGTGGATGTAACTGTCCCCACCCACAGAGTTCGGTTCAGTCCCACGGGCGATGAGACGAGCCAGGAGCTTCATCTTTCTCTAGACACTTTCTTCTACACCTTCTGTCTTCATGCTTTGGGGGTCCTCAGGTGCCCCCACCCCGTGTCGACCCCCCCACACCCGTTGCCACCACGGCAGACCACCCCAATCGCCTTGTTGCCATGCCGACAGAGACACTGACTCCAGCCCTGCCAGATAGCAAGGCTGCTGGCCCTGCAACGCCCTTCAGTTCCACTGTACCCCTCCGCATCCTCAACAAGGGCCCCGAGTACTTCAGGAGACAGGTACTGTGTGTGTTAGGATGTACAGAGATCTGTTCAGGTAAATGTGGGATTGAACTGAAGCATCAGAGGTCATAACTTTAAGTGTTTTGGCCACAAAATTCCAGGGTTGAGCTCATTTGTATAACCAATATAATTCCATAATAATTGGTCATTTGTGAGTCGTATAATATAATATGTTTTAATAAGCGCTGATCAAAATGCCTGCACCATTTGTGACTGTATTGTACAGTGAAACTTGTCTTAAAAAGAACTAGCTAGCTCTTTACAATGCAATTAATATCCTGTTGTAGTAACACCCACTGTACCACTGTCAGAAAAAGGTGTCCATCCATTTGGAACTAACACTGGTCTTAATCTGTCTGTGAAGGTTCTCAGTCATCCAGGTCATTGTAGTCAAAGGAGCTTGCAGAGAAAAGCGTCTGGACTTCTTTAAGTTGCTTGAAGACGTTTCACCTCTCATCCGAGAAGCTTCTTCAGTTCTAAGGTCAAGACTCAGCTGTCCATCTGCATCTAAAGGTCAAAGGTCACTCTTTCGGGGATGCCAATGTTCACATTTTGGACAGAGAGGACAGATGGTTTGAAAGAGGAGTGAAAGAAGCCATCTATGTCCACTGTGAGCGACCATCTTTGAACAGAGGCGGGGTTTACGACACCAACTCTCTGCCATCTATAATCCAGTTTTGAGATCCCTTCCCAGACACCTTAACGCCCACTCACATCCTGGGCCATCTGACCTCAGGAATTCGCATGATAAGGTGGGGCCAGGTTTCACAATGAACACACCCGAAACTCTGGCTGATTGTGACCCACACCCAGTTTCACACCTTGGCTCAGGCGATTAGAGGATCATCAGGGGTCCTTTGTCCCTCTGTGGGGGGTCACTCCCACTAGGTTTATATCTGGGACTCTCCACCATTTGACCTTAGAACTGAAGAAGCTTCTCGGATGAGAGGTGAAACGTCTTCAAGCAACTTAAAGAAGTCCAGACGCTTTTCTTTGCAAGCTCCTTTGACTGGTCTAAATCCACGTCACAGTTAGAGTTGTATGAAGTATTGCTGTGCTCTGCTGACGGGGCTCCATCGTCTGTTGCTGATCATGTAGGCTGTCACTGTTGCTGTCAAGTTGCTCGTAGACACAATTGCAACAACTTTTACATGACCTTGTAGATATGCACTTAGCTGTAAATGTTTAAAGTGTGGAAGCTTGTTGCAAATTTAGGGCTGTGAGAAACTCAGAAAGTCCTAAATATAAATAAGCATAGAATAGAATTGTGTAATGGCAAAGATGGCAGTTAACCTGCCCCGATCACCACAGAGCCATTATCTTGTTTCAGTTCCAAATGCACATCAGAGGTGGAGCTGCGTGCTGTCGTTTTTCTTGTTCCTGTAATGCTCATCACCTCTGCACTCTTCCTTTAAAACGCCGAGGCGAGCCAGAGAATTCGTACAGATGCGAAGCTGTGCCTGCATAGTACAAATATAACGTGCTGGGGAAAAAGCGTTTTAAAGCTTTTTCTAAGGCAAAGCTGCCAAATTTTAAAGCATTTTTAATGACATTTGCTGATTCTGTACATCAGTGCTGCATAGGTGAGACGTGCTTGTAGAAAGACTTTGGTAAAAATCAGGATGTATCAGTGTCTGTTTCTATAGTGTCCAAACGTTATGTGATGCAAAAGGGAAAAAAGATGAGTGGATACATTTCCAATGCTCACTCGTTGTATCCCAACATTAGGCAGTGTAACACTTCCTGACTTTATGAACTCGTGAATCTCTTCCGAGATGATCTGCAGCTGCATCACCAAATGAACGGGGTTGTATCATGTTTGTCTCCTATCGCTTGTTTCAGACAAGGAGTGAGAAGAACACAATTTTTAAAAAACACACAGAAATAACCCAAAACAACTCGATTCCTACCCCTGCTGCACGCATATAGAATAAGGTAAGGGACTGATTCAATGCCATCTCTCTTTTTTAACCTGTGTCTCAGGTGGAACCAAACCCTAAGCGCCTCAGTGCTGTTGAAAGACTAGAAGCTGATAAGGCCAAGTATGTCAAGAGCCAGGAAGTCATCAATGCCAAGCAGGAGCCAATCAAACCACCTGTGCTCGTTAAACCACCTGCTGGCCATCCCCTGCTATCCAAGAGAGGTCCTGGCATCTGTGGAGGAGGCAGTGGAGGCGGGTTACCTTTCAAAGCATCCAATAACAATGCCAAGTCAGACACGTGCGCAACAAGCTGTGGCAGCATCAAACGGGAGAATTTAAACCTAGAGATCCTAAAAAATCTGCTAAACTCATCGTCTTCTTCAGCAGCAGGATCTGGAGGTGGAGCTAAGAGTGCTGTGCATATGAGGTCAACAGGTGGAATGCCCAGGAGTTGGACACCATCGGGGTAAAATAATATACTTTTATCTTGTGTACATATGTAATCAATAATTATGTGGCGCTCAAATATCTCCATTCAGAAAGTTTCTCTAAACGTGTTACTTTGAGTGTAACTTGGTAATGTATGTTATATTTGGTACAGTCCTGTGAAAAGCTATATACAACCTCACTGCTGTCCAGTTAATCAAAAGCATTTGATTAACTGATCATCAAGTGTGACCGCAGCTGTAAAATCAGAGGTTTTGGCAGTTTGCTAGTCTGCAGCAGTCAGGTGTGTTAACACAATGCCACAGTCCAGGTGAAGCACAGAAAGTGCTGATAGGGATAGACCATCTTTCTGATTGGTAGATGGCGTGCTCTACCACCTGAGACACGACCGCCTCCAGCAAAACTGGAGAAGCTCTGACTGAAAGAAGTAAAAGAGTTGTGTCCAAAGAAGAAGCCTGAAAAGGCACAGCTTTCCAAAGTGTTTCCACTGTTGAGAGGACAGTTTTAAAAAATATTAATAATGAAAAATCAAAGCTCCAGCTCGGAAAAGCTTCTGAAAATAGTTTCTGCTAAGATGCTCACTGTGACTAAATTAAACAAAAGTCTGGAGGTCAATGTTGATATGCAAAAGACAAAAATATGACAAGCAAAATAAGAAAGCAGGAAGTGAAGTGTCAGCCTGAGATGAGCTGCAGTGAAGACAAATGTGGCTTCTGGTGTATTCGAAACCTATAGCTAATGACCAAAAGACAGCCGGGCCGTCATAACTTGTCTGTTTGCACTTTAAATATGTGTTCATGAAGTGCAAACAAAGTCAGCTAAAAAAAATATTGATAAATAACCAACATTTGTACGTGTAACGTTTGTATACACAATTTACGTACAGATTTTTGTGTACTCGCGATTCAATTAGGTTTAATGTCCTATGAACAGACGAGACCAAAGCAGAGACAGCAGCATCTCTACTTTAAGAGAAAAACCAAACGGCACAAACCTCTCACACCAACTGTCAGCATGGCGGCGGTGGGATGATGATCTGAGCGCCTCACACTCACTGAGACCCACAGATGAAGACGATGAAGTACGATTTAGACCAGGCTGTCATAGACGAGCCTTGACACTGAAAACTGCTTTTGCTATTACTGATGATAATAAGAATGAAATGATTTCCGTTGTTGCTGAATGTCTTACAGTTTCATTTCCCAGAGATGCTGGAGAATCTCAATTTTGTGAGTTTTTTTGTTCTGATAGAAATGTACCTGGTTTCTGTTTGTATTAGCTCGAGCTTTGCTGCTTTCTTGGTGAATTACTTTTGTTTCCTGTCTCGTCACTGCAGTCATCACTACAACTTTCTGGCTTCCTCCTCTGATAGTTTCAGGTTCAGTCAAACTTTGTCCTTCTTTTTCCCTCAGCGGTGCAGGCTTCTGTCTTACAGCATCATTACCTCTTTCTCCACTTTGGCTGTTGGTTTAGTTTAGTTGTAAGAACAAAATAGGTTGGTGGGCACGTTTCAAGAATCCTGATATTTCTTGGGACGTATTAGTGATAAGGCCCAGTTATCCCAATCACAGAAACAACTCTATCAGAATGACTGGGCCACTGCAGAGGCTTGATTCTTTTCCTCAACCTGACTGAAAAGCTGTGGACAGACCTTAAGCTAGCCGAGCACAAACAAAGATCCAAAAACCTCGATGACTTGTAAAGAAGAGGGAGACAGAAGTTCTCCACAGCAATGTGAGAGTCTGATAAAACCATAAAGAAAACGACTCCTCCAGCTATGGCTGCTCAGGGTGGTTCAGTTTAGTTTTCACAGGACTGCTGCTGAAAAAGGAAGTTTACTCAACTGACTACAAAAAATATTTTTCCTTTTTATTGCTCCTTGATATGACGATTGTTTGTTTTGTTTTTTTAAAGGTATGTTATATTGTACACCAGAATAATGGTTTCAACACTTTAAAATCTTCTGGTTTGAAGTGTTTCTTCAGTATTTAAGTGATCTAGTGACAGTCGTCAGCATTTCTACTGCTACACAGTAAACAATAGTTGCTGATAATAACTTATTTTCCAAATTGTAAACAAATCCGGTGTAAAACGGTGCTCGTGTTGCTGCCACGATGCAACTCACAAACTTTACATTGTCACATCAGGGCGTCTCTTTCTTTGGCCTCCAAACTGTGAAAAGTCATTTGGCGAGCAGGATTTGGCTTTGAGCGCGTTCAGCGGCATGCGTGTGCTAAACGGCAGAAGCATGCACACAGCACACACTTTGAAATTACGTGACAGGACTTTAGATAATGTTTTTTCTCACTCTGAACTTTTGAAATAAATATAGTTCCATACTCCGCTGTCAATGCTAATCCACGTGGTGACATCAGCCCAGACTGACTCGGCTGTCCACAGATGGTACCTATTTAACGTAGCCAAATACTGTAAGAGCTGTGGGCGGTGCTAACATTCAGCTGTGCGGTCACGGATTCTCTTTAGTACCAGGAGGTTCCAACACCAAAATCGGGGCTTGCTCTGGTGCACATCAAAAGTAAATCTAGCTCTGTGCTTATAGCAACCGCTCAGTTGGCTGGTGTTCATTAACTTGGCTGCTGATGGTGGTGGTTTATAAAGGCAAGTTTTCAAAAGCTAAGCTACCATCCAAATACTTGTGTCTGTGTCTTTATTTAGTTTGTGCTGGACTCCTTGGATTTTAGCTTTCTGTTTTCTGCTCCTAGGATGCCGTTAACCTATCGGTCTACCATGACTCTTAACGAACAACCACCCGACTCGACTCCCAGTCCCAGCACCTCACACTCCCTCCGATCCTTCTCCCATTCACTGAAGGTTCCCCCGATCAACAGCGGGGGGCGTCGCAGTCCGCAACAGGGAGGAAACCTGAATCTCAGCAGACGAGTCCAAGATGAGAGAAGCGGCGAAGGAGGCGTTATGGATCGTTCTCGGTCCCCGCTGCCACCTCTGCTTACTTCCCACTCATCTTCCGACCTCCTGCGGCTGTGCAATGGCAAGCCGCTCCGTACTGCACGATCCAGTAGCTCCTCAGCTCCGCCCCTCCCTCCAAAACCCAAACCTGCTTCCCTCCCTCCTCCTGCACTTTCTTTGTCACTGCCTCCCCCTCGTCCTGCCCCATCCCCCTCACCTTGTGACAACACCACCCCTCAGTCGCTACCTTGTGATCTTGGAGATCCTTCAAAAATGTTAGCTGATCCTAACCTCGAGCTAGAACCTGGTTCGTCAGTGGCACGTCGCTCCTCGCTGCACAGATCTAAATCAGACCTGTCAGACCGTTACGCCCGGGCCGGAGCTGATGTGGAACGCTTTTTTAACTACTGCGGACTCGACCCTGAGGAGCTGGAGGCGGTTGGTCCGGAGAACTTTGCACGGGCCAACTCGGATATCGTCAGTTTGAATTTCCGATCAGCTTCTATGATTTCCTCTGACTGCGACCGTTCTCGGCGATCTTCCAATGATGGTCTGTCAGATGGGGATGAGGGTGAGGACGAAGAGGAGGAGGCTGGGGAGCGTGTGCCATATGGCATTTCGGCTGTGGAGCGAAATGCAAGGGTCATTAAATGGCTATATAGCATTAAGCAGGCGAGAGAGTCACACAAAGTGTCCCATGTTTAGAAGTGGAGGTTCTTTAGGCTAAAGACAAACTGTCCTAATCTCTGAAGGAATCACTGCAGCGGCATTTCTCACAGATAAAGAGGCTGTTGTCTTATTGCTGAACGAAAACTTTTTCAACTGTGTGTAGCTGAATGAAAGAGGGAGGAGTGCACAGGTGTAACCCAAGCCAGGTAAGGAAAGAGACGAAATAGCGTCTGAAGATTATAGAAAAGACAAAGACTGCAATCCTCCAAAGTTTAGAACAAGAAAAACACCAAGAACAGGAAGAGGAAAAGCAAATTCAGTGCTTACTCTAGAGTGGCCGTTAACTGCTTCTCTGTGGACACTGTATGAACTGTTGTGTAAGCAACAGGAACAAAAGTGAAATGCACTACATTTGTCCAAGGATCCATAATGTGGCCATCGCAGTAGAAAGGATTGAAGACGTTTCTCACAGAGGACATTTGGACTTGTCAGACATCAGTACGACTGACACTCTGTTAAATGTAGCCTTTGACACCTGCACTCATCGTCTTTGAAATGTTCCTCAGTCTACTTTTGTGCTCTTTCATGGTCACATCCTCAGTAGGAAACAGTCGGCCAGTTGTAAGTGGTTGAACATCATCTTACCTCACAAATGCTGTCTGTTAGAAAAATAAAGCTACAGGTTAACTGTCTTTAGCTAGCACAGGAATATTTTATACAGGCCTCAGTCTTGCTTACATTTATCGCTCATTACAGATACTTTGGATATGTTCTCCCTTTGGGACACTAAGAAACAAAAAAAACCTAACCTCTGACCCTGTGACTAAGTTTGCATAGTAAATGTATACATGTGATAAACTGAAAGCTTAAACAACAAAGACCCGTTAAATCAGCACCTTTCTTGGACGGAGGCAGCTGTCTTTCACACAATCTGCCTAAATTTGCACTCAATGCAGCGCATGTAGCTTATTGCTAAACCATTGGTGAATGACGTCACACTCGTTGTGGTTTGTCTAGCACCTCACAGAAGTTCTTCCTCACAGTACTTTTCTGATTGTTTGAGGTGATCAGCTCCCCAGTTTCCAGCTTTTTGCCTTATCAGAAACATCAGTAGCATCATTCACTTACAGTAATAGGGTTGCTAACTTTTTAGCTAACAAATACGGGACACTCTGGCATGCCAGAAGCACAATACACAACCAGCTGGGTGTAGTGCACATATGCACTGTATGTGACATTGCAGGTAATGGTCAATAAATGGGACATTTAAAGTGGACTAAGGGGCAAACCAGTGTTTGCTCATTATACAGCTAAAACGGGGCAGTTGGCAACCCCAGACAGCAACACTGTGAGGTTTGGGTAACAGTGCAGTTAACAAATGGCCCCAATAAAATGCCTGTTGCTATAACCCACGGTTAAACAGCACATGAATTTTAAATAAAAAGTGAAAATCCTTATCAAGTAGCACCTGTTTCCATAACTTGTCACTGTTCATAAGTTGGTGGAACGGAGTCATCGTCTGTGCTTTCCTACAGTAACAAGTCCAAATGTCCACTGTGAGAACAGCCCGCACGCAGTGCTGATGAGGCTGCTAAACACACCTTGTGAAAGACGCCGCTGCAAACACGACTGAACTGTCAGAGCAAACTCGGTAAAATCACTTGATATTTGCGTAAAGTGACTGTTAAAGGATGGATTGATGACTTCGTCACTTGCCTCAATGAAGCTGCTGCAAATTGTTGAAAAACTCTGAAATACAGACGGTGTTAGAGTTGCGAAATAAAGACATCGGAGCGGGTGGTGAGTGAGACAAGAAGGAAAGCAAGGAACATGAAACAAAAACTAATGTCACAAACTCTGAGCATATTTATGTGGTTACACCATCAAATCATTGCACTCTTTGGCCTTTATCGCCAAATGTCTCATTACGCTGCCGTGTCAGCCAACAGAACATTTCAGCGGAGAGTTTAGGTGTCCTGTGGTGGGATATCTGTAGACGACATATTCAATTCAGGTGTATTTATTTAGCACCAGATCACAACAGCAGTCACCTCAAAGCACTTTACACTGTAAAGTGAAGAGTCTACAGTATTCTAGAGAAAACCATGACCTCTAGTTTCAATTTGAAAGCTTTTGATATTAGAGCGGTGGTTTTAATGGGAATTTCCCAACTACTTCTCCATCTTAAGGTCACAGAGGGTTGGAGCCTTTCCCCATTCAGACAGCCATTGTACCACTCAAGTCAAAATTAACTGTGGTAATGAACAGATTTCTTCCGTGAGGCTGCTTTCATGACGTAGGGTGACATCAACAGAAGTGTTAAAGTACCAAACCTTGACTTCATGCCGCCGATGTCAGTGGGACTATTAAACAGACCACAACTACTGACTTTTCTTTGGTGGCAGCCAAATAAACCAAACGCCCGGTGTTGAAGAAGCTGAAACAATCAGACCTGTAGATGTATCCACAGACGGTCCAAACCTTTATTGCAGTGGAAACCTAATGAGAATGTGAGTGAAGCTGCAGGACACCAAGACTCTCCTGTCGAAACAGTGTTGGTACAAATCATCATGTGTCACCACGTGCAAACACCTACACTGAAAGCAATATTATGCATACCGTATTGCAGTGCAGAACAGTGTATGAAGGTGTCAGACTGAAGTGTTGCTCACGCTGATTGCACACTGCAGCCACACACAGCTCCAGCAGTGCGTCTGCCACCCTGCGCTGACTCCATCTCTACTGTATCCAAACCCTCAGTCAGTCCATCACAGGAGCAAAGTCTTTCGCTCTGCCTTTGTTTGCTCCTAATAATGACGGTGGCCGGATTACTGAGTTCCACACCACCCTTCACATCTGTCTGCAAGCCGCTGACATGTCTGAAGGCCTGAAGCCATATGGGTGTGAATGCAGTGCCTCAGCCAGCAGTTCCATCTACCCCACCACCACCTCCTTTTAGCTCACTTACAGGTCTGCAAAGGTCCAAGCACCCTGCTGGCTTCACTTCACTGCCCCTCATCCTGCACTGCAGATAGTGTTGGTGCTGTGGAAGCATAAACGTCTGAAACAGCTGGAGTCTGCTCTGCCACGTTAAACTGAATTTGGGTTGGGGGTAAGATGACTCACATGTTAGTTAAGCTCCCTATAAAGCCGTCCACTTTCAAATGCAACCAAAAACAAGGTGCTTGCTCAAAGCACCTTCGTGCTGACAATCAGTGTCAGAATGGAAAAGCTTCACCTAATGGACACAGCTGCTGCCAGATGTCTTACAGCTTTGAATGTTTCATACTTGCAGAACTCTAGGTGCAGCGTAGATGCAGTCATAAGTGAATGTAACATATGAAACATTTCTAAATGTACATCACTGGTTAGCTGTTCACATAGTGCTCTCAGGTACAGGAACAAGTTCTTGTTTCCTGAAATGATGCACAGGGACGTGTCTTTGCTGAGCTGGAGCAGTTAGGGTCACAGTAGAATGCTTGTTCTTCTGAGTAATTATGAACAAAGTGTACAGCTGTAATAATCTCAAAAACCCTCCAAACATCAAATTCTTGGAAATAGCACGTGCCTCGTGAAACACAAAAACTCAGTTCAGCTGCAAGGAAACAAGGAAACAAGTACCAGGAAAGCAGTGGTTTTCTCTGAGGACTCATCATTCTCCCAGCAGCCTCTGCACCTTAGAGGAGACGCAATGAGTTGTGTCTTGAGTCCAAGTGTCAGTATGCCTTAAAAGGCTCTCGTCAGATCCCGAACCAGCGCTTGATTCTTCAGTCAGCGAGCACACACTGCCAGCACAAGTGAAAATGGTAGTAAACATGAAAGCAACTGAAGATACCCACTTAACATTGGAGAGGATATAATTAGATGATGCTGAACAGTGATACTGTCAGCATACTGAATATAAATATGACCTCTAAAAATGTCAAACTAGTGCTCTGAAAACATTTTAAAAAGTCATGAAATTCCTTGTTAAACTCTGATTCTTATATCGCGCTTTTCTACTCTGTTTGGTTAGGAACATGCAGCGACAACACCCGATTATCAGCTGCAGGTTATGTGGTTTGGGTTAAAATGTTTAATAAGTCAAAGCATTGTTTTTAATGACAAGCAGGGGGAGCCCTCCAACTGCATGTATGCAAATGTGTGACACAATTAGCCCCCTTCTCCTAAACCCTTTTTTACTATGTTTTTGGTCTTAGTCACTAGTTTGATGTTTTAGTGAACACAATGCGATGCTTCCTGTGTAAAAGATAATTAACAGTAAAGCAGGACACTCGTTACCATAGTCGTGCAGTGTCCGAGGGGCTTCTGATGATTTAGGTTAACATACACCCATTCACAATAGCAACAACCCCACCCCTAGCTCAGAGTTATTAGACAAAACACCAACCAAGTGATCCTAAAGTGTGTGGACACAGTTGTCATGAGTTGCGGGATGTTTAATGTTCCTAAGACAGTGGATGTGAAGTGAAGCCAGCTGGAGGACTGGCCCTGTCCTGAGGCTGAGCATGTTCGTGACCCTTCATTTGTCTCACGTCTTCCCAGCATCCTTTGTGGAATCAAGCAAACCCTGCTGCTTCTCCCTGACAGCATGGTACGGCAGCAGCGACATTGTGTGCCATTTTCACTTTTGTCGACATGATGTGCTTTTCCTTTGACTCCGGGACAGAAGGATGTAGAGTGGTAATTGTTTTACTTTTCATTCAAAGTGTAAATATTGTAAGAAAATGTATATTTGATTTTCAAAGGACGGTGTGTTGTGTTTCAGTTTTTCTGTGTTATAAAAGACCGGGAACAAAGCTCTGCTGTTTTGCTGTTGCCCTCAAACAGAACTGTCTGATTGAGCTGGGCATGACTGTTTCAGTGTTGATCATGTTTTTTGATGTGGAAACTGTTACATTTTGCTTGATTGGGAGAAAAAAATGACAAAAATGTCTTCGTGTTTAGTTTCTTTTGCATTATTTCAATAAATGTCTTCTTTTCCCATGTCTTGCCGCTCATGTTTGTAAGTGTTGACCTGTTAAACTAAGATGGTGGAACCTGAGCAGCGGCTGCTCTCTTCAGTCCAAACGTGAACCTGGGCTGGCACAGACGACTGCTGTGATCTGGTGCTACAGAAATAAACTGAACTCGTTCAAGGTGAAGGTTGTTAACTTCAAGTATTACAATGATCGGTTCAATACTAGCAACTCTAAATGATAGAGCTGGGCTTTTAAATAAATATAAATGGGAGTGACTATAAGAGATGAAATGATTTATTGTAAGAGTACAAAAATATGTCTCGAGATCTGATTGGATACTCGTGAGATCAAAGGTGTGCTTAATGTTACTGCAGAGGAGCTGCATGAAGGTTGAGCTCTAACACGCATGAACCAAGCTTAAAAGAACAGCTTGTTGATGCTTAAGAATCTGGGTTTGTGTAGCAGACAATGGAATAGTTCAACAAAACGGGAAAGAATTGATAATAGTCACATAAAATCTAATGTGAAAGTAAAAAGCTGCGGGATTATTCACAACTCTGCCCTGAGATACAAGCCGAGCCTTCTGGAGTGGATCTTAGACGCTCCTGACTAAGACATCGTTAGCATGCTGTGTCCGCAAGACTACTTAGGTTATGTGCAATATCAGGCCTTGAAACCACAACACAGCAGGTCAGATTATTTGTCAGATTATTCCATTAAATTGCTCTAAAGCCTGGAACAGCAGCACACAGCGACCTGTGCTGCTACGTTTGTCAAAGCAGTCAACTGCTTGCTGACGAGCACTTAATGAGACATGAGTGAGAGGTTCCTTTGCTTCCAGTATGAATGTTGTTTGATAAACTTCTATCACTGTTTATCACTTCACTTGTTATGGTTTTTAAAAAAGTGTTATAGATTTTATTTTGAACATTTACAAAGGATCACACTAATATAACCCACATGTTGTCACGGAAACACTGTTTTTTTAAGAACTTTAATATCAAATCTGAGCAACGTTTTTTTTGTTTTTTTAGGAACATCGCAGGCCAGTGGAGCGACAAAGAGAGGCCACAGTTTAGCCAAGCAGAATATCATCCAGTCTTTGCTGCAGTTCTTCTGAGAGCATGTGTTTGTGTTTCAAATCCTCCAGCAAGCTTTTTACTGTCTTTTTGTGCCTTCTTTCCCGATCCTTAGCATTTCTTAAGTCCCGACGCAATTCTTCCAACTTCTCCCGGGCCTCATTTAACCGCTTTTTTACTTGCACTGGGTCTAGAGCATACTGATGATCCTGAAAAATATTACGACTGAATTAAAAGTGGCTTTCTAACTGATGACGGTCCAGAATGTGTAAACGGCAGCTGTCACTCACAGATGCTGTTTGCTCCACAGCCTGCACCTGTGGGGGTTCTTCTGCAGCTTTCTGAGAGGTCCTGCTTGTTCTGGTTGCAGTATGTGCCTGGGAAGGTTCAGAGTGCAAAAGGTTTTCCTCACAGTTATCACTCGGTTCAACACAGCCTGTGATATGTGATACTCACCTTGCCAAGATGTCTTGTAAATAAAAAAACTGATGGGATCACTCCTTCTCTTAAACGAGTTGTCTGTCCAGTCCTGTCAAAGTCTTCTGCTTTAAAATGACAGCTGCAGACAACCGAGCGGTCATTTGGCTCAAAGTCTCTTCTCTTCAGGGCCATTTTCCATAACTGCCTTTTAACTTTGTCCTTCGGGAACCTACAGAGATAAGAGCCTTATGAGGAGAACAGCATGTAGTCCTGTTGTCTGTAGCAACAAGGTACACAGTACACTACTGTGGTCCCTCAGAACTCAGAGGTTTCCCCCCTCTGAGCTTCAAAGTCAACGCTGTATACACACAACCACATGTTGATGCACCCTGTCCTCCTTTTAATGAACTATTCTCAGCTTTTCTCATTTCATGTTAGCACTGCTGATTCAACACAGCTGCCTGTTTTTGTGTTCACCATATCCCATTATGGAGCCTTAAGCCGTTTTTCCCTTGACCGTGTGGAAGTGCTGGTTCTGACTGAGAAACAAAGGACACTGCGCACTGATTGGCTGCAAGTCATTACCCAATGGGCATACCCAGGAGAATTCTCTTTTCTGGCTCCTAGAATGAGCTTCATGTTCACTTTAATATCTGAAAGATAAGATCTGAAATTCAGCACATTCTCGTGATGAACTGTCTCTTGTTTTCCCCCATTGAATCTGAACCTGTGGCTGTGAGTCACATCAACATCCAAGAGGCTACAAACCACTGCAAGGACAGGCGTGCTCTACTGAACCACGACTCATAAACCCCCAGCCTCTTTCATGCTTCAGCAGGGGAACACAAAGCATGGCAGGGGCAGTCACAGGCCCCCCCCCCCGTCTGCACCACGTAACTAGCCCCCGGCCCAAGCTTGCTTGTGCTGTTGTTGGTGCTTCAGTCAATGAGAAGAGTAAAGTTCTAACATACAAAGCACTAAAGTTAGATTTTTTTATCTCAAGTATTCAAGGAAGAGTGGTGACAAAAATATAATAATCTCTCTAATAATTACAGTTAACATCTGAAGAAACTGAAATGATCAAAAACTATTCCAGCAGCTGAGACTCTCCAAAGATCTGGGTGTGCTGGATTGCCTGAAACAAACGAGCAGCATTTTCCTCTTGTTTAGGCGCATTGGGACAAAGTGGGCACTGTTGTTTGAATGGGGAAATATCTCCATACAGGTACATGAAGACATCTGTTACCTGAACTTACTGGATTCAAAAATCAGCTATTATTTTTTTTCCAATATCACTTTTAGAAGGCCATGCAATTCATTGTTCTTGTTGTCTGAACAATAACTGGAGTCCCACTTTACAACGTAAACGTTAGAGGCGGGTGGATCGGTCCAACTTCGCTTTCATCCTTCAAATTCAGTATGTAGCCCGCTGAACTGTGTTAATTATTTCTTTGAAAAAATAAACCTCAAACATGCTCTACAAAAAATTTCCAAACCTTTTTGTGTGCTTTAGAGACAGAAACATTTACATTCCAGGTCCCCAAAAACCCAGTTTCAAAACACATGACAAGCTGAAAGGTGTGTTTTGTTGTGTTAACTAATTATTCTGCAAAGTAACAGTGACAGTGATATAGTGGTGAACAAAATGTGCTCAGAATTTGCAAATTGAGACTTAATCTGGTGATGGCACACCACTCTCCCCCAATCAGCTGCCTGAATAACTTACAATTATTGGTACGGATATCGGCAATAGTGGCCCTGTGTTTACTTGGTATTGGATTGATACCAAAATTTGTAGTGTGGCGCTGCACTACCGTGGATGAGGGAAAGTGTGAATAGAGTATTTTTGTTGAAATGTCCAGGCAAGTGCATACATGTTAAATGACACGATATACGTGTTCACATAACGTCAGTTATGTTACAACTTCAGGCTTTTATTTCTACATGATAATCCTTCATAATTAAACAATAAAGGACAAGTTGTCTGATGTCCTGTGATCGTTATGAAGCTAGAAGTTTAATCACACATTAAGTTTCTGTACAAAGGATCGGAAAGGAAATCAGTGGTATCGCACATCACTGTGGCATAAATAATAAATACGTTTGCTGCAACGTCACTCGGTGCCATGACAGAAAGCGGTAGGAACTGTCGTAAAACGGATGTGGCAGTTTCGTACGGGACCCGTCGCGCAGTGCTGTGCTTGGTGAGTGCAGATGAAATAAACTGGAGCCGTTTTCTACCCGCACACAGGAGCAACATTACCACAGACAACGCACCCGTCGCGTGCCGTGGGTCAGTACTACAGCACCCAGCTGACTCACAGCTTCCATGTTCAGCCTCACTGACGCTTTAATGTTTTGGCAGCTTAAAGTTAAATAACTGTGTTAAAGCTGTTGACACTCTGCTGTGTGAAGAAACGCTAATAGTCGTAAACTAGATGCTATGCTCGTACAGCAGTAGTATTGTAGCGGCTCACCTGTGGAAAGTTATTCCCTGCTGCTTGGTGTTGGCGTTCCTTTGATTAGAGCACCCGAGAGCGGCACAGAAGTCTGGCATGTTCTGTTATTTTGGGCTGACCCGAGGAACCCCGTTGCAATATGGCGGCGGTATAAACACGTCTCAGGAGCCGGATGAGGAACCCACGTATGAATCATGAAGGCAGTGGTCACGTGATCCGGAAAACAAACTTTTTTTATTGAGCAATTGCAAAATACAAACTCTCAAAGAGGAACACGGATAATAATGCAAATGAAAATTAGAAACAGTACAAGAAATACAGAATTAGGGGAATAATAAAAAAGTAAATGAATAAAAAAGTACAATTAAAAAAACAAAAGATACATGGCAGGCATTTAAATTATGCATAAAAGGGAGCAGTGAAACAAAAAACATAAAATAAGTCAAAATTTAGAATAGCAGGAGGTGGGCAATACCCTGGTAAAAATGTTTGGCATATTTGCTCTTTGTCTTTTTAAGGGAAGAAAAAAAAAACTTAAAATCATTAATAAAACCAGGGAAATAAGGCTTAGAGTTCCCCCATCTAGCACAATGGATATGATATTTACTCAATACCATGTTGGGTAAATATCTCTGACAGAGACATCCAAAGCTAGATGATCCATATAAAAAACATATGATATAGTTCAAATGGTGGCACATCATTCATTTTTAGAGAAATCCAATTTTTTATGTCACACCAAAAGCATTGTGTGATAGGGCATGGAAGAAATGTTTTAGGGTTTCATTTTCGTCAGTACAAAAAGAACACTGATCCACCTCAAAGCTAAATCTCTTTTTTAGAAATTCGGCCCTGGAATCAAAACCGACTGGACCTGCACACTCTCTGATTAGAGCCGGGCTACGTTAGTCTCGGCACAGTTTAGTTCTCGCTCACTTTTCAACAAAACGGATGATTTGAGACTCTAGTTTGTCAGTGACAGGTGTGGAACAATAATTTCCGAGACATGGCTGTATTAAAAACATGCCAGATGCAGCTGTGGAAACACAGGGACACAGTGTCTACAGAGTGGACTGCACACCAGAGGCTGAGAAGAACAAAGGAAGAGGTGTGTGCATTTGTTGAAAGACAACTTCTGGACTGATGTTGCTGTTGGAGAAAAACATTTTCCACAGACTTGGAGTTCACGTTGCTAAAATGGACACCTTTTCATCTCAGCATTGAACGTAGCACACTGTTTGTCTTTGCTGTGTACAGTCATCTATGGACCAGTGCAAAATTAGCTGTGAGTAGACCGCATAATGCCATCAGTAAACAACAAGACTTCCGGCTAGTTCCTTTATTATGGCGGGGGACTTGAACCACACAAACCTGAAGTCTGTGTTACCAAAGTGCCACAAAAACGTTCCCATTGGAACATGGAATGGAAAACCACTGGATCAGGTTTACACCAACATCAGAGGATCCTCCAAGACCTGCACAGCCGTCCACCTTGGACAGTCGGACCCTTTGGCTCTGTTTTTAACCTCTTATCATCAGGACAGGTCACGGTCTGAGGAGACTGATTGTGTCCCATCACGTGTCGCGCCCGCAGTCTTTGTGGCGCTTTGGCTGGTTGTGCACTAAGGGTACTTTCAAGCTCTTACAATGCTGTGGTTGCATTGAAGAGCTTGCATTACGTTTCTCCCACCAAAAACGCTGCATCCAGATGAAAAGAATCAACTTTCTGGGATGTACTTACCCAGTTGTTTGAGCATGCATAAAGATATGTAGCACGTAACTTTGCTTTAACTATGAACAATTTGTGGTTCTTCACCTCCCATGTGGAGTCCCTGACAATAAGGGATAATATCAATTAAGACGATGCTTTACGTTACTGTAAGTGTAACAAAAGTGTCCCAACAACTGTTACATCAACCATAATGAGCAAGAGGGAGTGAAGAAGCAGAAGAGCATCTCTAGCGTGAGCGCATTTAGGTTTGGTAACTCACAGTTAGCAGTCAACTTAAACACTTATGCAAACGTAGGAAAAACGCTGTCACAGCAAGGGTGAAATACACGAGTCATCTTGCCTTTAAGCAATATTCCATCTAAATATGAGCTCAGTGCATCTGTACGTAAAATGAGCTCAAAGACAGCCAGGTCCATATATATTTGAACACTGACACAAGTTTAGTTTTTTAACCTGTTTACTGAAACATATTCCAGTTATAGTTCTATAATGGACGTGGACATGATGTGTAGACTATCTACATTCAAATTGGATGAAGAGTTTAGAAATTTCAGCTCCTTAACATGTGCCACCCTGTTTTTAAAGGGACCAATTGGACAGTTGACTCAAAGGCTGTTTCAGGCAGGTGTGGGCAGTTCCTTCCTTGTGCCTGGAGCTGATTTGAGGTGCGGTGCTTGCATTTGGAGATTTTGCTGTGAACAGACAACATGTGGTCAAAGGAGCTGTCCATGCAGGGGAAACAAGCCATCCTGAAGCTGCGAAAACAAACAAAAACAAACCCATCCGAGAAATGTCTTCACAATATGGAAAATCTACAGTTTGGTACATCCTGAGAAAGAAAGCAAGCACTGGTGAAGTCAGAAACAGAAAAAGACCTGGACGTCTACAGATGACTGCAGAATCATTACCATGGTGATGAGAAAAGACTTCACAACAGCCAATCACGTGAACAACACTCTCCATGAGTAAGGCGTGTCCATATCCAGTGTTCCATGAAGAACGCTGGACAGCTTGCACTGCAAGAGTTTATTAAAGCAAAGAAGTGGAATATTCTTGAATGACCAAGTCAGTCACCTGATCTTAACCCAACTGAGCATTTCACATGTAGAAGACAGACAGGCCACAAACAAACAGCAACTGAAAGCTGCTGCAGTAAAGGCCTGGGAGAGTCAGGAGGACATCTAGTGATGTCCATGAGTTCAAGACTTCAGACTGTCATCGCCGGCAAAGGATTTTCAACCAAGTATTAGAAATGAACATTTTATTTTCAGTTATTTGATTTGTCCAATTACTTTTGAGCCCCTGAAATGATGGGATTGTGTTAAATAAATGCTTTAGTTACTTATATTTTTATGCAAACTTTTAGTTCAACTTGCTGAATGAAAGCTGAAAGGCTGCACTTCACCTGCATCTGAGTTGTCTTGGTCCTGATATTTATGCACCCAACTTATATCGGCACACGTGCATCCACAGTCTGACTATACATGAAATATTGTTTTGTTTTTGTGTGTCCTCTGCATAGATGAGTGGGTGTGCGCTGAATGAAAAGGAGTTCTTTTCCTGCTGTCAGCTCCTCCTGCAGCAGTCTGAGCATCTGAGAGATGGCTGGAGCTGGGAGGCAGTCCAGGTGAGGAGGCCTCTCAATCTTGATCTTGATGAGCAGCCTGGAGCTGTGCTTTAAAGGCAGTCTGATTTTGGTACAGGGTTCAGAAGAGGGCTACCTCAGGAAGACTGTTCTCAGGTCAGTCGTAGCTGACTGCTGTGATGCACAGAAACAGAAGGAAGCTGCTTCAGTTTCCCCTATTTTCGCTCACCCCATCCAAGAACTGCAGCAACAGGAAAGGACGCAGGTGAAACTTGAACAGCGCTTCATTTTCCAGCTGTCTCTCCAGTAAATATCACTAAATGTGTCTCTTCCTCCACAGCCTGTTGTTGCTACCCGTTTTCATTCTGATGGCATCACAGGCGACGGCGGTGATGAGGACGATGCAGTCTGCGTGCTGTCTGAAGGCAGCAGCCACGTGCTTCAGTACGAGTATCACATCCTGTACTCTTGCAGCTACAGTGCTCCTGTGCTGTATTTCAGAGCTTTCACCCTGGGTTAGTCACACATACGGCAGCCGCGGCACACACACACCTACCCCCGTGTCCTCCTGTTTGAGCAGGATACTGCAGCGTTTGCTTTTGCTGCCACTCGCCACCAACATGATGTTAGCTGTGTTTCACCGCAGCAGCTGCTGTGTAGCTCTTTCAAGGGACTCGGTATTTTGTGTAAATCAAGTACACAGGTGGAAGTGATGATGTTTGGTTAAACTCGAGTAACACAACCACGAAACATAAACAGCAGAACAAAGGGCAGAAGAATGAAAACTAAACTCATCAGTATGAAGGCGACTCAGACTTAATGTTGGTGATGATGCACTAACCTGTGGCAGGAGGTCGTCCCTCAGCAGGTCCCTGTGGTATAAACTCACCCGTTTTGCACTGCTCTTTGTCAGAGGGTCGGAGTCTGATGTTAGAGGACGTGTGGAGCTCTGTTCATCCAAACTTCAGACACTGCCTTCAGAACAGTCCTTTGACTGCAATCACTCAACAGGTAAAGGAAGTCTCGGCATCATTATCTCTACTTTTCTCCTGACAGTCCACTTACTCTTGTGTCTGTGTGCCAGGAGCATCCTCTGCTGGGTCAGCCTTTCTTTATGCTCCACCCCTGTAGAACGGAGGAGTTCATGAGGCCTGTGCTGCAGGAGGCTCAGGAACAGCCCAGGTAGGGTCGCCGAACCACAGCGCTGTTGATGTAAAACTCTGAGGTAGCTCAGTGTTGCTCTGTTGATCAGGCAGCTCGGGAACATTGACTCCTGTATTAAAATATTTCTCAGGCTTTTGTGGCATGTTTCTGATTTTGTATTTTTAGCCTGGTTGGATTTGGATTGCATTTCAAAAAACAAACTTCTTTTTAGGTCCACATTAGGGAAAACTGGACGCTTTTTCAAGACCAACTCTGCTGCTGCAAAATCAGATCACATCAACACACATGGTGTCACACTGACGCATACACCGTGTTGTTGCTTTCACTAACTGAATGTCAGTTTGGTTCAAAGTATTAACTCGGGAACCGTAGGACTCTGCAGCTGTCCACTCGTAGCTCTGGTTGTTACTCTGTGGGTGTAAACTTAAACAGGATTGAACGTGCAGCTTTCAGGAGATCTAGTCTACACCCTCTGTCACCTCTGATGGTGACATATGAAGATGCTGTTTAAGAAAATCAGCTGATCCTAAAAAGTTTCTAAAATGATTTAAATACAACGTCAGATCAACAACAAGACATATTGGAACTAACAAAACGAAGCAGAAATACAGGTGTGTGTGTGTGTGTGTGTGTGTGTGTACACAAGTACTTTGATTTTGTACTTAAGTAGAATTTTCAGGTACTTTTTTCTTTATTTTTCTAACATCTTCCTTCATTTTTATACGAATATCTGTGATTTCAACTCGTTACGTTTTCAGTCTCGTTGCTTTTCAGAGTCATTTGCAACACGAGTTTAACATCACTACGATCGTGCGTTGAAACATCAAACCAGTCTGAGAACAGTAACATGAAATACAGTCCTGCTGTCGACATCTCTGCTTCTGCGTTTTGGATTAGTTTTTGTTCAATAAGTAACAGCGTGGTATAATACCTCATGTTCTGTTGTTTATCCGAGTCTGTATCGAAATCATTTTAAAACCTGGTAAAGATCTGGTTCCTTTGTTGTCCCAGTATATAAAAGTTTGAGCTGACAGAGGGTGTCGACTCTTTACATCGTGACTCTTTGCAGTTTTCTTTTTGATGCAGTTGTTGCTTCCTCTGTTTTTTGAAAAGCTGGATTCATACATATGTGTGTGTGTGTGTGTGTGTCTGTGTGTGTGTGGGCAGGCCAGTGAACTATGTGTTGTTGTGGCTCAGTGTGGTGGGTCCTGTGGTGGGTCTGGACGTCCCTCTGAAGTACTGCACCCAGCTCCATCCGTCCTCTCCCAGCAGCAGTGAGCCTGACTAGAGCTACAGCGCTCTGCTTCAGATTTGATGAGCAGCGCCGTGGAGACGGGAGGCGGCTCTGTGTGCGACATTTTGCAAGGAAGACTTGCAAATGAGTGACATCTCCCCCGTCCGGGGAGAGTTTGGACCAGTGTTGAGATGCTCTTTTTCCTTTAATTTGACCACTGTCAAAATCAGCGTTTTGATTAGATACCAACTCCGTGCTTTGGAGAGATGCCCTGTGCTATTAATACATTTAATATTTGTGTTGATGTAATGTATACGATACATATTGTGCTAGAATTTAGACTCAACTGTGCAAAATGTAATAAAAATATAATCCTGGGATTTGCAGACCTCATTGAAATGATACAAAACGAAACCAATCACGACCTTTTTGAAATGCATTTTGTACATTTTATACCAGCAAAACATTTCAAAAGAAGTTGGAGGAGAGTTAAGAGAAGTTGTATAATGCTGAAAGAAACACCTGGTGGGAAATCTCCAACAAGTGGGCGTGGCTGAGTATTCCACAGAATCTTTCTGAGTGGGAAAACAGTTCAACATTTGATTCTTTTAAATATAGTCAGTGCAGTAATATGGTCAGCTGATGGTGGTGAGTTTTCAACGGAGCCACATCAGTGTAGCCTGTGAGATATTTTTATTATAGATGTACATTAGTGTTTCACGGGAAATGTTGAATCCATCGGTGCAAGTGCAGAACACCTTTCTGAATAAATAGTTTGTATTTTAATGATAATTATGTAACTATTCAAGTTCTATTTAATTTAAGGTTTTTTGTTTGCTGCTTAGTGTAGTAAGAATACTATCAAGCCATCATCACGGTTTTCTCAGATGCACAGTCAACGTGGACCGTATAGAGTAAATATTGCTGATGACGTAGGTGGTAGGCAGTAGTTCTGCTTACGGTCTTGACTTGAAGGATGACTGGAATACTGCCAATGATAATGCTGCATTTTTTTTACTGTAAAGCAAACTCGAGTACTTTGAGTGACAGGCAGGTTAAAATGGTGTACACTGAAGTGTAAAGCATAAAAAGCATTTTTAAAATGTGTCGGACTTTGAAGCGAGTAGCATACACTGATTTGCTGACTCGATATTAAAGTAAACCCTGTAATCTCCTGCTTTCTTTGAGCCAGTTCATGACATAAGAAACAGATAATGATGAATAAATAAGGTGTCATAATTAGATGTCAGGCTAAAACCCACTGTGAAAGGACAGACGACCACAAATGGCACTAAACAGTGCCGCTTTCAGGTCTCTGGATGGCATAGTATATAAATTTGTATTGATAATTATCAAAATTTGAATATATTTAGAACAGTTCTTATATAGTGCTTTTCTACTCTGAGCACTCAAAGCGCTTCACCAGAACAGCCTGTGATTGATCCATTAACCTGCCGATCAGTAGATGCTCAGCCTCCTGAGCTACAGCCTTACCCTGTCTGTCACAGACCATTCAGCATTGCTTTGGAAAGCAGCCAGTTCAGGTGCTCCACGTCTGAGACCAAAGGTAAGTGTCGTCATAAAGTCACAATCGCACGCGTGCAGGCTGAGATGTCCATCAGCCTGTATTGACTGAGTCTGTGGATATTGCGCCTCTGGAAGTAGGTAGGCTAGGTCACTTAAGATATTAAACTAAGATATCCAGCTTCAGTTGAATAAAGCTTTTAAATAATGCTATCAGTTAACTGCATTGTGTGTATGGTGCATGTCTGACAGGGAAGTTGAACAGAAGGACACCTTAGGTAAGATGGCGCCACCGGGAGTTTGGCGAGAGTGACTTAAGTGTTTAGGAAAGTAACACTACACACTGTATAGGTGGATGTCATTTGAACATGAAGGAATTGGAATCCTTATTTTAAAAAACAAACAAAAACCTAAGATTTATACTTGAGCTTAAGGTATTTTTAGACAGTGTACTAATACTCAACAATCACTTCATTAGGTATACCCGTTTATTACTGTGCGGTTATACTAATTGGATAGTTAAATTGCAGGAAGTGTATTTAGGCATCCAGATGTATTCAAGATGACCTGCTCAGAGTACTCTCAGAACTGAAGAGTCCTCTTGCATGAGAAGTGAAACTTCTCCACGAAACTTAAACAAGTCCAGCTGCGTTCTTTCCAAGCTTCTTATTCTACAATGACTTGGATGGCTAAGAACCGACACGGATCAAAGAGAATGGACTTTTCTTGAATGTGTTGAAGGGTTTAAATGGCTGTGTCTGAACCCAGTTCGAAATATTTTCCAAAGCCGAATGATGTAGTTCTGGTACCTAAACTCAAACAAATCAAAATGGACCTCAAACTGAAGACTAAATGTAAAAATCCTGGTCAGATGTCATCTGTGTTTTCATTATTATGGGCTGGGAGGTCAGTTAAAGGAAATGACCTCCCAGCCCATTGTTCCCTCAGTGGGCTGGTTTCAGTCATTATGCAAATATATTGTTTATAAGATTGAAACCTGCAGTCAGCTGAGACTGAAGACGTCACCTGGATGGTGACGAAACGTTTCTCCCACAAAACGCTGCGTCCAGATGAACAGAATCAACCTTTGGGGAAGGTTTAAAGCTCATTTTAAATTATTTTATATTCTGTTTAATCTACGGGTAATGCACATATCCCAGTTAACTCATCCAAAGGTTAGATGCTGCAATGTTCACAAATGTCTGCACAGAAGACCCCACCCCCTCCTGGTGACCAGGTGATGACTCTGTCCCCGGACAGCGTGAGGAGATCCCTCAGCAGGATCAATGCACGTAAAGCTCCGGGTCCTGACAACATTCCTGGTCGTGTACTGAGAGACTGTGCAGTGGAACTCACTGATGTCTTCACAGACATCTTCAACAT